ACTTTGTTTGAGAATTTCGCACATTAATGCTTTGTCTAAGGCTTCGTTTACTTTCTTTAAAGTTAAGTAAGCATGGGTGACTTCAAATTTTGCTTTACAATGAGTATTATCAGAAGGTTTTGTATTTGATTGAATGAGCGTGTGTCTTTAATTTGATGCATCAGTTTTAGGATTTAGATGTGGTGAACCACTGCGAAACCAAATGTTAGAACATCTGTTTGAAAAAATATTAGTTCAATTGATCTGTGTATTCATTTAACTCAATTATTAAGGCAGAATTTATGATTTGTTATAGTATACTTTGTTACGCAATCGGTTTCGCTTAAATCAGATTTTTCCTTCTGTGTGAAGGACTATTGTTATGTTCTGTATGGACAAAACATATTGGAAAATAGGTAGTGTATTTGTTTATCTTATTCATTTGTTTATTCTTTTAAAATCGTTTTTAAATTACATACATATTTCGTTGCATTATTGATCTGTTTTGTGGAAAAAAGTTGTCCTTACAATGGAGTTTGAATCAGGTGACCAGCGTGATGTTTATTTCTTGCAAATCAAGGTGAATGATGTATGTATCATCATCATCGAAATTGAACGTTAGTTTTATTGAATATATTTAGGTTTCTTGCAAGGGCAGTAGACGAAATTTAAAAGATCTATCAACACCATTTTCTGCTAATAATTTTGAATGGAAATCAGAATTGGAATATTTATTATTGCGTGCACTCTAAAAAATTTCCGTATCCTAGGAAACCCAAAGGGGTTCGGAAACCTACTCGGAAACCCTTTTCCGTTTTCGAGTGGGTTTCCGAAGTTTGGAAGCATTTCTGAAAATACCCTTTGGGTATCCGAACGTTCGGAAACTCAAGGGTTTCCGACAATACTCAACTGAACACTCTAAAAGTATTGTAGAATACCTTTTTCTTGCTTTCGGAAACCCAATAGATTTCTCGAAAATCGGAAAGGTATTGTCGAAAACCCATATTAGTAGTAAAGCTGGATTGATACCAGAAAGGGTATGCGAAAATACCTTTTCATTTCCTAAATGGTTTCCGAAAATACCCAATGTGAAAAAGGGTATCATAGGATACCGAGATGGGTTTGCAAAAATACCCAATCTGAAAAAGGGTATCATAGAATACCGAGTTGGGTTTGCGAAAATACCCAGTTTAAAAATAGAATCATTGGAAATCAAAATAGGTTTGCGAATTTTGTGTTAACCCTTAAAAGAGTTCCTAAGGTTTTCAACTTTTCTGATACCTTCATCAATTTTCTGATTGACATCTCAAAAACTTCGCAAACGGATAGCTGTGGATTTCAACCTTATTTTTTTCATATTCTTTCTCATGCTCAGCTTTGAACATTTTTATGAAACAGCAAAACACCGATCTAATTAATAATTTCATATTGAATTATTCAAAATTGTTCCTGTGTAAACAGTTCCATGAAATGTGAAGTCAGATCATGCTTCAGAAATAATGGAATGTTATTTGTGCATTTTAGTGTTGATGTTATTCTTCAGAATATAAAAGAGAATACAATATTAACAAATCAGGAACAAAATAAATAAATTGGACAATTACCATACGTCTTTTTTCTTCCTTTTTTGGTTAAGTTTCGCTAAAGTAAGAATAATATTGTAGCTATCGTGGATGTCAAAAATTACAGGAGGAATGAATTGCAGAAGTTTCTAGCCTTAAGTGAGAATTAACGTTAGTTTATTTCTAAAGATTATAGGCTTTCAAATCAAATAGAAAACTGCAACTTAAGTTCACATGTTAAAAAATTAATGTCATTAATAAGGCATATGAACAATATGTTTTCATATAGCTTTCACAAGAACATAAATCATGAATCTAATACTGTTGTCTTGTCTTCAGTTACTTTGTAGCTTTGTTCTATAATCGAATAAAAGAAGGGTTCAATCTGTAAAGTACAAATTAATGCAATTTCTCTTATGTTTAATTATGATTCGCTTTAACTTCATTAGGTTGTGTCGTACTAATTTTGAGATTGGTCGAGAGCAACCGATAGACGAAGTAAAATAAGGAAAACAATGGTTATTTCATATTTTCTAATACTAATAAAATATTATATTGAAAAAACACTAATTTCTAAATGTAGAGAAGATCGTTAATCATGTTACAATCTTGTTTATAATTTCTCCGTTAGAGAATAATTTATTAGAAGTTTTACTAAAATTTTACGTTTTGGAAGGGAGACGAAGTTGCTTATATTTACATTGCATTCATCGGAGACTTAGCTCAAGAACAACTTTTATTTTTACTGTCAGTATAAGAGAAATTTAGCTACAGGTTGACCATTTAAGCGTGCTTTTTACATTTGTTCTAAATTTTATTTAACAAAAGGCTTTGGGACGTCTCTTTTATTACGGAATTTGATGCTATTATTATATATGAATATAAAGATGCCTTAATACTAGAAGAAAGAATAGTTAGAATATTTTTTTAGAGATGAATTTTAGTAGCTTACTCACGTGGAATACAATGAGCATATTTCACACTACATATTCAACGAATGGTTGCTTATTTTCTAAGCCTTTTCGATTTGAATGATATCAAGGTCCTCAACTATCGAACAAAACATCAGAATAGCTATGCAAGCTGATCCTTTTATTTCTGATTGCATATCTATCGAATAACGTCTCTATAATGAGTAGAAAAAGCTTCACTAACGATATTTTTCCCTACAAGCACGCTCAAAAGCAAAGATTTTCTTATATAGAAGCATTTTTGATTTGAGCAAAATACTGATGAAACATATTATATTGATCAAAAGCTTCTACATTAATTCCTCCGCTTTATCAATCAACTCTATCTGAGTAGCCGTCCCATTCTCTTCGATTTCAATAATCTAAGATCATATAAATGATCAACTCGAAAATCTGCTTCACTTTAGGAAATATCGTACCTTCATTTCATACCTCGTTCGAAAGCTTACTATTCCTATGATTTCGGTCGTAAATTCATCTTGATGAATTCTATAATTCATTCGATGTTACATGAAATGTTTTTTTTTTCTTACATATCTAATCATATCAACAGGTAGATGAGTTATTCTAAATGATTTCATAAAATATTTCTAACTTATCATTTATACTTTTCAATACTACATTTTCTCTATCTATTCAGGGTGTTTATTTAATTTCATGAATACAACATTTTCCTAATTTTTCTTTTTCTATCATAACATGGCTCTGGAATTCGGTGAGTTCTAATCAACTAATTAAATTAAAACATATTTTCACTTTTACTTTTTAGACTCGTTTTAGATAGCCATATATCCCGTAAGTTTATTCCAAATATTAAATTAAAATACAATTTCATTTTAATTCATCAATTTCTTTCGAAAATCGAAAAAAAAGCGTGAGTTAATCCAATTTATTAAATAAAAATACAATCTTTAACGTTTGTTTGGAGATTCGATCCGAATTTATCAATATATCCGGTGAGTTTATTCCAATTACTAAATGAAAATGAAATTCTAGTTTTATTTTTAGATTCGTGGGATATCGATAGATCTAGTGAGTTTGAATCAATTTGTCAAATTAAAATGAAATTTTGTTTTTATTTTTAGATTCGTTTTATAACTCAATATGTCGGATGAGTTCATTGGAATTACTAAATAAGAATGAAAGTTCATTTTTACTTTTAGATTCGCTGTCTGGCAATAGATTCAGGGAGTTTGAATCGATGAATTAAATAAAAATACAATTTTATTTTCAGTTTTTGGATTCATGCGATATTGGTAGATCCGGTAAGTTTCAACCAATTTATTAAATTAAATTAAAATAATATTTTATTTTATTTTTATCTTCGTTTTATATTTCAATACATCATGTAAGTTTATTTCAATTACTAAATGAAAATGAAGTTTCGCTTTTACGTTTAGATTCGTTTTATATCTCAATACATCTGGTGAGTTTACTCCAATTACTAAATGAACATGAAATTTTATTTTTATTTTTAGATTCATTTAATATCGATCGATTTGGTAAGTTTGAATCAATTTTCTAAATTAAAGTTTCATTTGTATTTTTAGACTCGTGTGATATCGATATATCCGGTGAGTCTGAATCAATGCATTAAATAAAAATACAATTCTATTTTCATTTTTAGATTCGTTTTATATCCATAGATCTGGTGAGTTGGACAAAAATTCTTTAAATTAAAAAACAGTTTCATTTTTATTTGTAGATTCGTTCTATATCTTAGTATATATGGAAAGTTTGTTCAAATTATTCTACGAAAATGAAATTTTATTTTCATCCTTAGAATTGTTTTTTCGCAATAGGTCGGGTGAGTTTGAATCAATTTAGTAAATTCAAATATAGTTTTATTTTTACTTTTAGATGATTGTCGTAGGGTAACGTTTGATGAACTATGAAATTCGTTCATTAACTATTTTGATTGAATTATGTTTTGCATGCGAATGGGTGCTCATTAGTTTTGATGTGGTTGAATGTGAAGAAAACGGGTGAGTTTAGATGGTTTTCGATGAAAAATTGCTTCTTTTGTTCATTTTTTAGGTGGAGAAGGCCGTTATATTTAGCTTCTTGATGGTTTGGTAATGGTGCGACGAAGTGCATCTGGATAATTAAAGTTTTTCTCTAAATTCCGTGTGTTGCTTACCTTTAATGACTGTTATAGTTATTTCTTGGTGTGAATAGATTCACAACAGAACCTCATTGAATGTTTGTGGCCGCTGTGAATGCTTGTTGTTGCTGGCAGAGAAGTGATGGATTCCTGTCTAGGCTAGTTTGGTAGAGCTTTAACCGCATTCGGAAACCTTTTCTTTGGGTTTCCGAAGAGGTATTTGAGGTTCAGCTATAATGGGTACTATGGGTTTCCGAGGTCTCGGAAACCCTTCTTCGGAAACCCTTAAAGGGTTTCCTATAGTAACAAACTCGGAAACCCTCTGAGGGTTTTCGAGAATACCTATTTTTTTTAGAGTGTGCAGCATATTATAATATTCCACGTATGAATTTGCATGGTCTCACGATATATGATACTCATCATCAGTATTTGTTGCAAAAATTTCGTCGAGATCATTGTTATTTGTGCAAAACTGTATTTGGTTGTAATATTAATTCAACAGATGATCTTCGTCGTATTTCTCGAACTATAGCATTTGGTATTTGGCAAGATAATCAGTTGTCAATTTTTGATCAAACTATGTGTGGTTGTTGTCGCAAGAAGCTTGAGAAACAATATTATCATAAAGAAATTATTGAAAAGAGTGAAAATATTTTTTCATGGCTATATGATGAGTACACAATTTATACTCCATCTAGTGCTTCATCATCGCCATATTCCATATATGAATTCAATGAAGATCCTGATATCCAATCTCATCAAAGAGATAGTTTTAGAGAATTTTTAATGGTTAATGGTTATCAAGAAAGTGTGCAAATGACAAACTCTTATCACAAAATGATTCAGAAGAAGCAGCAAGATTTTCGACGTAAAACCAAAAATATATTATTATTTATTTTACAAATATTAGCATCAAATGATTTTCTTCAAGTTTGGAAAGATATTATAGAATCTGATTTTGAAGAAACTATGCAAGATTGTGAACTTGATGGAAAATTTGGTATAGTTATGAATTGCATTGCTGATGCCTATAATGATGTTAATCATTGGAGTACTAGACGTCAGCTTCTATTAATTGTTGCTCAAGATATTCCATTGTATATAATCCAACAATTTATACCCGATGTAACACTATGGAAGTTAAATGCAGCTAAACAACAAGCTGTTGCTAATGGTAAATAATAAAACTATTGAGGAGTTGGACTGCAACACGACTTATAAACTCTCGAGTTGAATTGAGTGGCGAGCAGCACGTTGATAAAGAATGCTTCATCAATATAGCTGAATTTTTTAATAAATACTAAAATATATGAACCAATAAATATATTATTATATGAAATATAAAATTAAACTGGTTTTGAAACTAATATATATGGATGAATTGCATTTCATTCGTACAATTGCATCATTGGTACTAAATCATGAATATCTCCTGTTTGGAAGCTTCGAATGACTTGAAAATTTTACATAATACTCCTCGTCGTGTCTTCCTACATTTCAGAAATTTTGAGCAGTCGATATCACTCCTATCTCGGGTTATGCCTCTTGGAAGTGAAAAAATGGCAAAAATTGGAGCCATCTCTTGA